AAAAACATAAAAAAACACCAAAACATGGTAGTCAAGGAGGGAAAAAGTATTCCAACAAGATAGTAAAGTAGGATTAAATGACCTCAACAAGATATTATACTAGGAAGGAAAGACACCAACACGATTATACTAGGAAGAAAATCCGCAACAAGATATTATACTAAGTAGGAAAGACATCCACAAGATATTATACTCGGTAGGAACGACATTATCGATAGGATTGTCTTTCTATCACTGACATTAAATGTTTCGGTATCCAAGCAACCACACATATTGTCTATAATCGAACCGCTCCCACATTTACCTGTTTACCTCTCTGTACGACTCTGGCGCTTATCAGTAAAGGAATTTTCACTGAGACTCATCAACGTCACCATCAGATCAGATGCTATCTAAGAGGAGGAAGTCAAAATGAAGATGAAGGGTACAATCCATGATAAATGGTTTAGACAGGGATGTATACGATATCGAGATGTTTACTCTGCCAATAACGATGATAAAGTATGCTATTATGTAGGATCGGCATGGCGAACTGTACTGTTCCACCCGAGATCAGGGTAAGTAGGGTGGAATGGCATATCTAAAACACGAAATGAGGAACCTAGTGAAGACACCATTCAACGGTGGAAAAGCATGAAGAACACGCATAAAACTAAGCAGATATTTCTAACATGACGTAAATGCAGAACGAAAAAACATGAAAAAACACCAAAGATTGGGGGAAATCCAACATGGTAGTGAACGAATGAAAAAGTATCCCAACAAGATATTATACTAGGCGAGAAAGACATCTACAAGATATTATACTAGGAAGGAAAGACACCAACAAGATATTATACTAGTAGAGAAAAACACCAAAAAGATATTATACTAGGAAGGAATGACTTCAAAAAGATATCATATTAGGAAGGCGAGACCTCAACAAGATATTATACTAGGGAGGAAAGACATCAACAAGATATTATACTAGGAGGAAAGACACCAAAAAGATATTATACTAGGGAGGAAAGACATCAACAAGATATTGTACTACGAGGAAAGACACCAAAAAGATATTATACTAGGGAGGAAAGACACCAAAAAGATATTATACTAGGGAGGAAAGACACCAAAAAGATATTATACTAGGGAGGAAAGACACCAAAAAGATATTATACTAGGGAGGAAAGACACCAAAAAGATATTATACTAGGAGGAAAAGGCATCTACAAGATATCATACTAGGGAGGAAAGACATCAAAAAGATATTATACTAGGGAGGAAAAGACACCAAAAAGATATTATACTAGGAGGAAAGACACCAACAAGATATAATACTAGGAAGGCGAGACCTCAACAAGTTGGTAAGGTAGTCGTTCTATCACTGACATTAAATGTTTCGGTATCCAATCAACCATACATATTGTTTATAATCGAACCACTCCTGCATTTACCTGGTAACCTCTCAGTACGACCCTGACGCTTATCAGTAATGGAATTTTCATTATCACCATAAAATGTTCTTTAAAAGGATGTAGTTGACGTGTTTGTATTTCACCAACTACAATGATATCATCCTATTCTACCTCACACCAGTAAAATACTTAATAACAATAGAGGACTTTGTAATGAATTATTATATTAATACTATGACACCTGCAGTAATCTTGTACTACTGGTACATGGTCGATAACATCGAGGCTCATCAACGTCACCATCAGATTAGAACCTATCTAAGAGGAGGTAGTCAAAATGTAGATGAAGGGTAAAATCCAAGATAAATTGGTTAGACAGGGATGTATACGATATCGGAATGTGTTCACTCTGTCAATTACGATGATAAAGTATGTTATTACATAGGCATGGCGAACTGTACTGATCCACCCGAGATCGTGTCTTACATCAGGGTAAGTAGGGTGGAATGGCATAACAAAATCACGAAAACAATAACCTCGTGAAGACACAGATACTGTACTGATCTAGCCTAGTATGATATCTTGTGGATGCCTTGCCTTCTTGGTATGTCTTATTGAGGTCATTTTTCCTGCTGAAATATCTTGTTAGGATACCTTTTAACTCATTTACTACCATGTTGGATTTTTCCAAGCTTTGGAGTTTTTTCATGTTTTTTGCGTTCTGCATTGATTTCATGTTAGTAATATCTGCTTAGTTTTATGCGTGATGTTCATGCATTTCCACCGTTGTATGGTGTCTTCACGAGGTTATTGTTTTGGTGTATTTGTTATGCCATTCCACCCTACTTACCCTGATGTAAGACAGGATCTCGGGTGGAACAGTACAGTTCGCTATGCCGATCCTATGTAATAACATACTTTATCATCGTTATTGACAGAGTAAACACAAGCCGATTTCGTATACATCCCTGTCTAAACCATTTATCTCGGATTGTACCCTTCAACTACATTTAGACTCCCTCCTCATAGATAGGATCTGATCTGATGGTGACGTTGATGAGTCGCAATGAAAATTCCTTTACTGATAAGCGCCAGAGTCGTACAGAAAGGTAAACAGGTAAATGTGGGAGCGGTTCGATAGTAGACAATATGTGTGGTTTATTGGATACCGAAACATTTAATGTCAGTGATAGAACGACCATCTTATCGATAATGTCGTTCCTACCTAGTATAATATCTTATTCAAGCCTTTCCTTCCTAATATAGTATCTTACCGAGGCCTTCATGTCCTAATTAAATATCTTGTTGGGATACTTTTTCACTCCTTTACTACCATATTTAATTTTTTCCAAGCTCTCATGTTGTTTTTATGTTTTTTTCGTTCTGCATTTATGTCATGTTAGAAATGTCTGCTTAGATTTATGTGTATTCTTCTTATAATTCCACCGTTTTATGGTGTCTTCACGAGGTTCTTGTTTTCGTGTTTTAGTTATGCCATCCCACCCTACTTACCCTGGTGTATGACACGATCTCGGGTGGATCAGTACAGTTCGCTATGCCGATCCTATGTTATAACATACTTTATCAACATTATTGACAGAGTAAACAAATGCCGATATCGTATACATCCCTGTCTAACCAATTTATCTTGGATTGTACCTTCATCTACATTTTGACTACCTCCACTTAGATAAGTTCTAATCTGATGGTGACGTAGATGAGCCTCGATGTTATCGACCATTTATCAGTGGTACAAGATTACTGCAGGTGTCATAGTATTAATATAATAATTCATTACAAAGTCATCCATTGTTATTAAGTATTTTACTGGTGGGAGGTAGAATAGCATTATATCATTGTAGCTGGTGAAATACAAACACGTCACCGACCAACTACATCCTTTTAAAGAACATTATATGGTGGTAATGAAAATTCCTTTACTGATAAGCGCCAGGGTCGTACTGAGAGGTAACCAGGTAAATGTAGGAGTGGTTCGATTATAAACAATATGTATGGTTGATTGGTTACCGCAACATTTAATGTCAGTGATAGAACGACTATCTTATCGATAATGTCGTTCCTACCTAGTATGATGTCTTGTTGGTGTCGTTCCGTCCTAGTATAATATCTTGTTGGGATACTTTTTTACTCACCAACTACCATGTTGGCTTTTGACAAATCTTTATTTTGATGTTTTTGTGCTCTGCATTTATGTCATGTTAGAAATGTCAGCATAGTTTTATGTGTATTTTTCATATGTTTCCACCGTTTTATGGTGTCTTCACGAGGTTCTTGTTTTCGTGTTTTAGTCATGCCATCCCACCCTACGTACCCTGGTGTAAGACAGGATCTCGGGTGGATCATAACACTTCGTCATGCCGATCCTATGTAATAACATACTTTATCAACATTATTGACAGAGTAAACAAATGCCGATATCGTATATATTCTTGTCTAACCAATTTATCTTGGATTGTACCCTTCATATACATTTAGACTACCTCCTCTTAGATAAGTTCTAATCTGATGGTGACGTTGATGAACCTTGATGTTATCGACCATATACCAGTATAACAAGATAACTTCAGGTGTCATAGTATTAATATCATTATTCATTACAAAGTCCCCATTGTTATTAAGTATTTTAATGATGGGAGGTAGAATAGCATTATATTATTTTAGTTGGTAAAATACAAACACGTCAACTACATCCTTTTAAAGAACATTTCATGCTGATTATGAAAATACCTTTACTGATAAGCGCCAGGGTCGTACTGAGAGGTTACGAGGTAAATGTTGGAGCGGTTCGATTATAGACAATATCTGAAACCGAAACATTTAATGGCTGTGATTGAACGACTCCCTTACCGATAATGTCTTTCTTTCCTAATTGTATGACAGAAAGGCCTGAACAATACACCACAGTGGTACAGAATGGCATGAACAATACACCACAGTGGAACAGAAAGGCCTGAACAATACACCACAGTGGTACAGAATGGCATGAACAATACACCACAGTGGTACTGAAAGGCTTGAACAATACACCACAGTGGGACAGAATGGCATGAACAATACACCACAGTGGGACAGAAAGGCATGAACAATACACCACAGTGGGACAGAAAGGCATGAACAATACACCACAGTGGGGACGGAAAGGCATGAACAATACACCACAGTGGGACAGAATGGCATGAACAATACACCACAGTGGGACAGAAAGGCAGGAACAATACATCACAGTGGGAAAGAAAGGCATGAACAATACACCACAGTGGGACAGAAAGGCACGAATAAGACATTTAAGCCCTAAATGTACAAAAATAAAACATAGACGTGACCTTTTCGTAAGTGGACGTTTAATCAATGTTTTACATACTTTTCAACAGCGCGATTCTAGAAATCGATGAAAAAATAAGCAAGCTCCTACTAATCCAAGCATGTATATGTCACTGATTGATAGCTATTTACTATCCAGTCTGTTTTTATCAACCGATGACTTTTAATGATTGTATGAAGAACGAACATAGTCACTGGTAGAAATCGCCTATAGTGTGGTTCATTCGTTTGATTTGTTCAGCTTTAGTGTAATATGGTGAAAACTCAACAATGTAAGAAAGGGTTAATCCTCACTTCACCAAATTTCATAGGAATGGGTTTGCTACACTTTCTTTGTTTACCGACAGACACTCTGTCATATGGTTTTCTGTGTCTCGACCGCTGCTCGTCAGCGATTCGACGAAGACGAATGATAACCGGGGCTGTACTGATTAAATCCTCAGGTTCACCTTCGTCTTTGTAATCTATTCCAAAACTAGCGGCCTTACCAAAATACTTCTCCGCGCCGTCGGAAAGCCCGATACAGCTATAACTGTAGGCTAATAATACTTGCACGTGTTCATCACATATTTCTGGGTATCTAGCTGCTTTAAATTTGACCCATGTATCAAAATGCTTCAAGGCCTTTACAGCCGTGCCATAGAAAATGTTCTCACCGCGTTGGGTTGTGTGTAAGACCATCAATGTTTCAATGATTTTGAAAAAGAGGAAGGCTGTGCTGGGAACACTACAATCAACGATAGCATCCTGGATACACACATCCATGGTTAGACGGTTATGGAAGTTAATGGACGAATAGATACCTCCCTGGTACAACAAGCCTTGTCGTGAGGACTTATTAGGAAGTAGGTGAACAGTAAAATGATCAAGGAGTTTTTGATGCTGGTTTGTTGTCGATAACAGGTTGTAGTATTCTCCATAAATCCAAATATGGGTATCGACGTATTCAAGGATTTCATCAAAAATCGCTCGGCTTTTTTCTATCATAGCGTCACTCTCGCCAGCATCGTCTTTTATCGACATCGCTTGTTGATGATACAATGACGCTAACAGTCCGTATAGGCAGACTATCGTGTTTTTTTCAAGTCCAGGTCTAATAACCTGTTCGAGACGTTTGGTTGTAAGTTCCACAAAAGTACTCATTCCCATGTCATCAAGCATGTTAATCCCTAACAGGTATAAAGCTAGGAATATTTCTCCTTTGTCTAGTAGTGCAGACACATATTCCAACACTGTCTCAATCATAGTTTGCTTTGTAAGTTCGTCGCCATACACACGAGGAGACAATAATGACGTCAGAGAAATATCTCTTGACAACCAATAGAAACGTTTCGTGTGCATCAATTCCAGGATGACTGACCAACCAGTATCACCAAGTGTAGTGACGTCACGCCTCACAGCATTCACTGACGCTCCACTTATATGTGCGATTGTGTTGTTATCGTTGATGAAGTAATTCGGTAGGTTGTGACAAGCAAGAAATGATTCCAATTGGTAGAGCAACCGTTGTAAACATTCGAATGGGTTCATTTCCGTCCATTCTGTTTGATCACTTTTTTCACATACCCAAAACATGGTCTGCTTGCAGTGGTACGTTGACAACCCGCGTTTAACTTTATTGATATGGAAACGAAAAAGGTATTTGAACAGTTTGTAGCAACGGAACTGCGGAATATTTAGGGCATGGGCAACGGTTCTCGACGCTAAACCGAAGGAAAGAATAAATTCTCGTGGATCCTTGCTATTTTTATGTGATTTTGGGACGACATCACAGCCACATTTGACGGCCGCGTTAATGACTGATATGGGCGGCCAAGCGCGTTTTCTGTGTCGCCAGGACTCCGCTTCAGCAGGCCAGCTCGGATGAGGTATTGCTAGCACGTAGTCCTTTGAGTAATGAACATTGAAGGTCCTTTCACAAACCTCGGCGGTAAATGCTGGACCGTGGTGTGAATACTCAACAGACACATTTCTTCCATCATAAATTCGAATCGAACTTTCTTCTTTATATTTGTCATGTACTTCTATTTTTACTTCTTTTCTCAGTTTTCGAGCAAGGTTTTCTCGCAAGACAAATCCCTCGCTATCAACAAACTCATTCGCTTCTTCGAAATTACTTTTTGAGTGGTAGATCATATCAAATTGATCATAATACAGCTTCCTTTGTTTTAACCAATCGGAGTTGAAAACTAGCTGTATGTAACCCGGATGACTACTAATAGAAACAGGCCTTGCAAATGCGCGACGATGATAAGGATCAACCTTGAGGTAGGGGAACAAATATATGATGTCTTCATCATTGACCTCCTTGTATGACCTTGATCTGACCATGTGTGTTATTTCTGGCAGTGCCAGGCCGTCGGTACTACTACCTACAAGGCGCTGCATATCACAGCAGAGTCTTCTACCGTAAAACAATTGTGACAGTTCTTCTTTCATTAAATCCTTTGCCTCTTTAATGGATTCTGTTACAGGAAGAAGCGGAAGTATTAAATTCAGAACAAAGTTTTGTTTCGACGATGACTGCTTGTTGTTGCTGACATCCAACAGCGTTTCAAAAAAATTACCACGCCCCTTTCCGTCGGCTTTGACACTCTGGGACTGCATGGTTAGACGTAGTCAGACAATTCACTGAAAATAGACAACATAATGTGATGTCAAAAGTTGGTGATAATCTACTGTCGTTTACATGGCATTAATCCCTTAGCCGTGACTTAGCATGAAAATCTTAAAATCAGATACCTAATTTATCCAGCTTTCCGGAGAACAGCCACATTCATTGTTATTTGATTTCCTTAAACCGGTAGTTAGCTCTGCATTAGAAACCACAATAGTTTAAAAAGTTAAAATAGGCTATCTGTATGTTTATACCAGGAACTAGTTGATATAGCTTTAACTAGAAAGAGGTCAGTGCGTGTGAAAACAATGGCCATTCTATAGGAAAATCCCACATACGATAATCATTTGTCGAAAACTGTTTGACTAATGCAAGTCATACATAAGCGCTTTTTCAAAATGTTCTTGAATTATCACATTTATTTAATAAAGTATATGTAAAATAAATAAAAATAGAAAGCTTCCATGATAACACAGTTAGATGTAGTTCGTGTTCACAAATAGAACTTTTCTGCTGTAAACGGATATAGCTCACTATTTCAGTAATTCTTAAATTCAGTTTGTCTTGTTTTCGATAACGTCATTAGAACGCGTCAAGCCAGTAAATCATATTTTCGATTTTACATAGAGTTATTGAAAGTGTAAGTAAATTGGTGAAGTGAAGAAACCCATTGTTTAAATTATGACGGGTATTCGTTTTGGATGAGTCAGACTCCTTATATATATATCGACCTTGTATGTCGCTGTTTACTTATCGGCGATTACATGTCGATCTGGGCACCACCAAACTTATACACGGGTGTTTACCGTTTCTTTAAACCTATAGTACACATAAACAACTCTAACACATGTACATACGTGTGTATCTGTAGTATAAACACACCATACACGGGTCAGGTTTCGCATGCATGAGTGACGCTATTTATGTTGTAGTATTGAAGTGTATAGAAAACGTACACATTTTAACAAAGATACATGCAGACACAGCAGCTTACCATTACAAACCGGTTGATAAAACCAAGATATGCATCTTCTATAGGTAGGAGATTAAAAATGGCAATCGGCACTTCCTTCCTATAGCCTTGAAGTAGGCAATTTGGAACTTTTTACGGGAAAACACAAGAACGCGACCTCTACAATTGTTTGTGTCAAAAAATCGGGAGATAACTCTTGAGAATTTAAATGTAGACGTTTCCTGACATACCCGGTCTATTTTTAATTCTAAATTCCGAGCTACTTTGTTCCCTTCTACTCGTTTTGATGTGTGTACTGCATTTTCCCCCTGTGTCTTTATTTTTCTCGAAAAATGAGCTTCATTGTAGTGTATGATTCACTTTATTTGCTATTTATGCTGCCGTCGATATTGATGTGTTGTCAGAATCTACTGGTGCAACACCTGACACGCACGAAAAGTTTTGAGTCAGAAAGGAATTTACGCTTAAGTGAATCTGTTTTATTCATGAGGAGATGATAATCTCGCTAGTACGCCGAATTAACTATATATATTAAAGAATAATAATGCCTATTTGTTATCATATATGCCAAGGAAAATATGGTACACTTACCAATACATACCCGCAACTTATACAGAACAATAGACATGTCTTGGTATATAGATATGAAGACACGTATACTTACATGCAAAAGACTCAACACAAGAGCAGAAGCCACTTCTATTGTCACATTTTCCGAAATGAAAGTATTTTTTACTGTTCGTGTGGCATTTTTGGGGACGTCTGTAATGTTAGCCATGAGGAATTCTGCAGCTAGTATCACATAACAGAAAATACTTGAACTTCTATAGTTATCTGATGTTCTGGGACTGACTATATCAAGCCATGAACGATTGTTGTGTTTGTCTAGGTAATTATGTTAGGATCTCTAAGGTAACTGACGGCTGAATCATTACAGTGAATAATGATAGGCAACCTTATTGCATAGGAGGAGGTGCTGAAACGAAGATAATATTATTTTTAATTCAAATGTCGAGAATGTCCCCTAAACGCAAGTGTGTAAGTAATGCATGATACTGTATAGGTAATGCTTAAAATACAGTTCAGCAACGACATGCATCTAAAGCATTTGAACTGATAAAATGATTTTCAAAATAGGTTAAGGTTTTTGGAGTAAAAAAAAATATGCCTTGCGATCCAAACAGTATGAGGATCAGTAGATGTTTAATCATTAACCGCGGAATCAAGAGTTTGTATCATAAACTCGCTTCAGGGATATAACATTATTAGTTTTTACCTTTTCTGGTAACCGAGTCACTTCTGGATTATACACTCCTTTTGTCGTTGTTTAAGTGTCGTTTTGATTGTCCAGATATACATCTGATATTATCACTGTCATGTCGAAAGGAGTCTGAATTTCAATAGTTGTAAGTCCCTGGGGGATGTACAATTCTTGCGCCACTTTTTTTTTATTCTTCCAGGATATATGTTGTCATTGTCAATGTCGCTGCATAATTTGTATCGCGAAACATTCGCTGTTGATTTACATTTTGCAGATATATACACTGAAAAAAAAATCTTATATCAAATGTGTTATGTTAGTCTTGAAATAAACAACATTACTTTTTCCCATTTCACTAGTTTCCAATGTTTCTCGGAAGTCTTGAAAAAAAAATCATGATTTTTCTCAATATATTTGTTTATGTCTTGAAATACATCATGACTTTCACTTTTTTTTAATTTCTTATATTTCTCGGAAGTCTTGAAATAAACAATGGCTTTTACTATTTATCCAATGCCTCTTGGATTAAAAAAAAACCCAAATTATTTTATTCTCTTTCCTCTAATGACTAGTGTTTTTCAGAAGTCTTGAAATACACTAGGATTTTCTCTATTTATCAATTTTTCAATGTTTTTCTAAAGTCAAGAAATATTCCCCTTTTTTACTATTTATCTAATTTCCAATGTTTCACGGATGCCTTGAATTACACCATGAGTTTCTGTTTATCTACATTTCAATGTTTATTGGAAGTCTTCAAATACAACATGATTTTTACTTATTATCTGATTTCCAATATTTATCTGAAGTATTGAAAAACACTCTATCTGCTGTCCAATATTTATCTGAAGTATTGAAAAACACTCTATCTGCTGTCCAATATTTATCTGAAGTATTGAAAAACACTCTATCGGCTGTCCAATATTTATCTGAAGCATTGAAAAACACTCTATCTTCTGTCCAATATTTATCTGAAGTATTGAAAAACACCATTATTTCTGCTATTATCCATTGTCCATTTTTTTGCAGAAGTCTTGAAATAAACTTTCTATTTTCTAATTTCCAATGTTTCTTGAAATTCTTGAAAAAAATGATCTTATGTCTAGTGTTTTTCAGAAGTCTTGAAATATATCATGATTTTTTCTATCTATTTAATATCCAGTGTTTTTCGGAAGTTCTGAAACACACCATGATTTTTTTCAATTAATCTAATTTTCAATGCTTTTTCGGAAGTCTTGACATATATATATTTTCTTACTATTCATCCATTTCTAATGTTTCTTGGAAGTTTGAAATTCACCATGAATAAATTCCGTATAACAAGGATGTAAAAGCATTCATCTGTTATTAAATGGTTTTCATTAATTTCATTTTTAATTTTGTTTAGATATATAAGATGGTACGCCTGATATAACTTCTCGGCCTGCGGACTTAATTTATCGGGAACTCGAAAATGTAACTATATTGAAGTCTGGTCTTAACTTCTAGAGCGCTCGACACAGACATTTTATGGGGTTCTCAACATAGAAACATTTCACTTGCATATAGTAATACGAATTAATTTACAGACTTTGTAACTGTCTATATTAGTTTCCTAAAATGCTCGACATAGAAGCGTGATACTTAAATACGCTTATATACATATCGCAATTCTAGTTGATTGATAGACCAGTAAAACACCAGTAAACATGGTGTTATGTATTCTTCTTACAAGTTTAGGGCCAATTTAGCAAGCAATTATCAAGTAAATACCAAAAATATGACGATTTTAAGTTGAATGCTTCAGATAATAGGTCCTTAACTACACGTAATATAGAAATATTATTATCCTAGATGTACCACATTTATTGATTATTAATGAACGAATAAGGTATTAAATGTAATCCAGATGCTGAAGCCATTGGCCAAAATAAAGATGCTCAATATACAAAAAAAAAAAAACGTTAAGTGCACTATGCGCTTTGGCTAAAAGTATACAGAGTACAAACACATACATTTAATACTGTAGTGAAGCCACTAGGACACGTACCTTACAATCATACATATTGCGTATATCCTGAACTACAGCTAATGACACTACCCACTTAACCACTGCGTTATTTTATGCATCAGCTATCCCGATGCTTTATTTATTATTTTGAATAACCACTTATCTCCAGTATTCCTAAGAGTATTACTAAAAATCCACACCGCGAACAATTCCATTTCCAATACCTGTCTTCTACCCTTTGTGTTTAGATATAGTCACTATGAAACCATGTGTAGCAGTAACATATATATGCCTCTAGCAGTAACATATATATGCCTCACCTTAGAAAATAAAGTTCAATTTCAGACATCTAATAAAAATTTAATAATCTATTATATAGTGACTTTGTACGAAAGGGTTAGCATCTGGCGTCTAAAAAATGGAAAATATTCGTGTTCCAGAGTGGACAGAAGAAAAGTGGAACAAAGTAAATAAGAAATTGTCAGTAGGTAGGTTACTTATTACAGGCTCTACTGACAATAGCTTCAGGCTAATCCCAAGTTCTACTTTTACAAAGTTGATATCCTAATCACATATCATATATTCACTACAGAAATTGATTACTGGCTTTAATATGTTAGGAATGAGGACCCGCGATCTCATAATGAAGTATCTAAATCCTCTTCTAACTAATGATTGAGGAAATCCATTAAAAGAAAATTAACTTAACGGATAGATAAATACTTACTTTCATATTTCTACATCTTTTTGTCCTTAGATGTCACTATGA